TTTTTAATACAATTCGACGCACATATATAAAAGCGTTAATTTGACTAAAAACATTTCCATTTTCATCTTCTGTCCAATTATTATGTACTGCTACGCACTAGTAAAAAGTTTTCCTTTCGAAGTATTGAATGTATATTAGGCCACACAATTTAATTTTTCGTTTACATAATCTGCCAACCCATCGTTTCAATTTTAAAAAAAATATTTCTTAAAAGTCTAATTGTCATAAATTTATCCGGCATCACCCGATGTAAACACAATATCCCGTAATTATCCGATATGACCGATAGAAAAATTTTTTTTTCACGGGGTCCATTTTTTTTGATTCCCCCTTTTTTATTAGTTCCCCCTAAGTCATGTGACTATACTACATAATAAGTTACACGAACATCTGATTATGCATTACACGAATGTTATGTTACACGAACTATTACCTTTTAATTATATACGTATTATACGAATACGTAGTTAATTGCATATTATACGAATAGTCTGATTATATGTCACACAAAGCAATATTACACGAATAGTTATCAGTTATTGTTATTTGAACGTGCATACGTACTGGTAAAGTCATAAATAGTGTTGAGGTTTTGTTAGTGACGAACTAAATAAGGAAGCAATAATGATAAGTAACGAGTGTCTTACCTACAATATGCGGTTGTAAATAGAATAAACATAGGATAACGATCAAAAGCAAAACTCAAATAGGTTAATAATTACACTATGTGAATGAATACAAATACTGTATAAATACGAGTTTTGCCGTTTGGAATTAAGACTCATCGTTATATTTTATCAATACAAATTATCAAAAGTGTATCGTTTAAATGTGAAAGCTGAAAAAAAGTAAATTAAGCAATAATAATTTATAAACATGGTACTTGTGTTTAATAATTATTTTTACCAAATGTATTATCATATTTCAATACAACCTCTAGAACAAAAATTAAAAGCATAATTATTTAATTGAAAATTGAATACTGTAAATTGAATGAATATAGAATTGGTGTTGAAAGTTAAGCATAAGGTATCTTCAAAAGCCAAATAAGATGCATCACGTTGAGGAAATAAACTTTTTGTAATTTTATGAAATTGGTAAAAGATTTAAACTAAGTATACTAAGATTTACATTTATATAAATTTATTTGAGAAAGCATTTCTTGTATTATTTATTTATTTATTTATAAAAATATATAATAAAACTATTTATTATATATTATAATTATTAATGTGATGTTTTTAGGTTTTCACATTATCAGGATCTAAAATTTCAGATGCTATCAGGATCTAAAATTTCCAATTCAACATTGCAAGATTTGGCCTTGTTTTTTTTGCGATCAAACCAACAAACCAATTTAGTTGTATTAATAATATCATCATCATCTAGGTGGATGTTTCTAGCTTGACATTCCTTGGCAAACTCCTTCCGATTCCAACTTACACCTTGTGTTTCAAAAAGCTCTTCTAAAGCAAGATTATTGATTTTTCTTCTCCGTGGTGATAGTAAAACAATTTCAGTATTTTCATTGTGTGAATTTGACTAAAAAATATAATTAAGCATTAAAAAAAGATGTTAAAAGTTTTCCTAATATCAAATATGAATAAAATTTACTTATATATCCTAATGCACTTTTGCGTTTGTTATTTCAGATTTTTTTAGTTTGACGCTGTTCTACAGAATGTGGTAAATTTATATTTTCAAGAGCCATAATGGGAACCAATGGTTTAATTATTTAATAGAAAGTTAATACGAAATGTATTATTTGATCACTTTAAATATATAATAGAGAATTATATATACATTTCTTGGTTTGAGTTGAATAGGAGAAGTGAACAGTGATTCTGGAATATTATTATTAGTGTTTGGTATGAGCATTGCATTTTGATTATGGCAATTTTCTGTTATATTGGATAACTTCGTAGAATTATTCAAATTGATTTCATTAACATTTGAAGTAAATAAGCTAATATCTTTATTAAATATATAGGTGTTACAATAATTATCTACGGACTAAAAAATATATTAATCAGTATAGTACACAATATTAATTCAATCTATATTAATTAATACCTACCTTATTTTTGACAATTATTTGATCTTTTGTTCTGACATCAACTTTTGACAAGCCAACAGTAGTATATCTTCATTTTGGAAGTTCACTAGGTCTATAAGGATCTTTTTCATTAATTGGCTTCTTAGTTGGAAAAAAAATATTATCCCCATTTGTTTGATGCTTGCATAAAATTTCTGAAAAGCCTCTTCAATAGTTCCATTATAGATTACTTTATTTTTTATATTAGGTGGTATTATTCGTTCTTTATTTCGAAAATATTGAACTAGCTTATTTTTTATCTGATTAACTAATGTTTCATTTGATTTTATAGATACATAGATATGTGCCGCATGACCATGCTACAAAAATCACAAAACAATCCATGCCAAATAAAATCAAGACAAGTGCATTCACCTGTAACATAACTTACTAAGTAGTAATTAGGCTGTATTGGAACTATATGCTTTGCCGCAAGCTTTTTAATCATCTTCGATATTCCTTGAGCTTTATTATCTTATCTGCTGTATATGGAGATCAAAAACTATTTTGCTTTGAATTACTCATGTATATATAAAATAAGTTTGGATTGTTTGAAACTTCAGTAATATAGTTTTGTAGCACTTTTAATTTTCCTTGGTTAATATGACGCATTACATCTGGTTGCGTTTGGTATAATCCATTTTGATGCTCAATGGTATGTAAGTTCCAATATGTGACAAGCCCTGCATTAAAAACTAACTGACCACAATTGTTTGTAAGATTTGACGAACAACTTTAATGCCATAAAGTTATTCAATAAAAGTTAAAACTGTTTGGGTACCCAAATATCACTCTTCAATAGTTCTATTCATTTGTTCAGTAAAATTATTAGTGGTCCATGGCTTTATATTAGTTCTATCTTCATGACTTCGTAAATGCCTGCATCTATAAAACCAAGAATCCATTCTTAACTTATCCAATTTTCTTCAAGATTACATACAAAAAATGCTTTTGCCTCCATAGAAATTGGAAGTGAATATATAAAGCTTTTATATTCAATAGCCATGTCTCTAGCTTTAAATACACTTCTGTATCTACCAACAATTTTATTTTATTTTATTTTATTTTTTTTCTTAACTAGTCTCTTTGGCTTTAGGATTTTTATTCAAGTATTTTGGGCAGGGAGCTCACAGTGGAACCCCAATTATATTAGAGAATACAACTAGCTACACGTGTGACTTTTGAGCACCTATTTAAATAATCTGCATACGGTATTACACTGTAGATTCTACACTAGCTGCCATACCTATAACCCAACTAGGGGATTACCTATTTAAACCCTCTGTAACGTACACATCCCTCTTGTATTACCGGAACATCTCTGCTACATTTGTTAGTCAAGAAGTTTCAGATGCTTACTGTAGTCTTAGGACTAATTTATCCTCAAGGTATCGTTTCTAGAGCTTTCCATACCTACAATATGGCTAACTTAGACTTTTGGTAACTTAAGCCGAGTCCAAGGACAAGTACTTGCGAGCTGAATCTACTACCATTACCTACTCTTACCCTTATGAAGTTCACCCAGACCCCAGCACCCACTTTACAGACTACCACCAACTTTTCTGGCACACTGACAGCATCCCCAAACTTCTAATCCAGATGGCCTGGAAGGAACTTGCATCTCCTGGTATTCCGATGAATCCTTTTCCCCATATACATGTGGTCTAGTTGGTATGGTGCCTTGCCAAACACCCGGTCCTTGTTCAGTTGGCTATCAGGTCCGATTGCCAATGATCTTTCTTTACATAGTACTGTTGAAGATCTGTGCTACCTCTCCATTCGGGACTTGCCAAGCGGGCTTCCATGTGTCCTGATTCTCTGGATTTACCCAGATACATCACTTGGGTTTTGTATAACTCTTGCATTACACTACTGTTCTACAGCCTCCCAGTACTAGCTTGTACAACCAAGGTTACAGATGCTGATCTGTCAGATTGCATATAGTCTGCCATAACATATTCTATATAATTCGAATTTCATCACCAGTGGGATTTGAACTCTTGCTCTGCCACTTGGGGTGTGACAACTTTATCAGCAATTTTAAATGCTAATGCTATTGAATATCTATATAATAATATAGTGCATATATAAGTAACATAATTTAATTAATATAATATAGTACTCAGTGAATATTGCATAATTCAATCATATATTACCATAGGCTCCAATCAATTTTATGTGTCCGAAAATGGTTTCAAAAAAGTCTATATTATATGGAACCAATAAAGAATTGTATTGCAAATAATAGGCTTCAATACAGCTTTTGTTGGTCGATGTTTGTCCATTACTGCAAAAGGATTCCATTCGATTGCATATGGTTGTATATGTTTAAATCCTTTATTATTTGGTAGTGTAATATATTTATATGGGTGTTCAGAACTTGTGTTTTAACAAGGTATGTTTGCCTTTATTGTCTCAACAGCAAGTCATATTGTATACATGTTTTCCTTATTAGATAAGGCAAATCCTATAGGTGTACCCTAGTTTTCACAATCTTCTACTACAAATGTATGAATAGGTGCTCGATCATTATTAAGATCATATTTTGCATCGATATCAAAACAGAATAAACCATAATCACATGCTTGTTCTAACCATATATTATCACTTACAGTAAGTTGATAATAATGATGTGGTGAATTTAAGGGAGCAGTTTAATCTTCTTGCTAATAATAAAGAACAGAGCCATTTTTTTTAATTCATCTACAGTCTTCCTCCTCTATAATCACCTCCTATATAATCACAACTCCCATATAATCACATTAATTTTTGAGACAATTTATTAAAAAACTTATAAAAAAAGGCTTCTATATAATCACACTCTTTTATAATCACTAATTTTCTTGATACAAACTGTGTGATTATAGAGAAGAAAGACTGTATAATCAATCCATGTAATATGGTTCATGGACCCACATCACCACAAATATATCTATTGTTTTGCTCTAAAAGTTGTTGAAGTTTTTTTTCATTACAAATATTGGTTCCATCTTTTTCTTCTATCTCTAACCATTCTTTCGATACACCATTAAATGGAGCTAGCAGTTTGTGTTTTATTTCTTTTGCTCGCCAATTTAAAATAACCTGATCTCTTAAACTCCTCTTTAAATTAAGGTGTGTAATGGCTCCATTGGTCTATTGAATAAATATTTTTTCAATGGAGCTCCGGTCCATTGATTTAAAAAATTAACTCCTTCACATTAAACAGGAACATTCGTAGGTATGTGCTAATCTTCTATACACAATTGAATAGAAAATCTCTCTGTGACTATACTAAGCATAACTCTAGTAATTATACAAACTTTGCATTTATACATATCATTGCCATTTTTTAAATTGTTCTTCATTCTATAATTCGAACAGTTAGGCAAACAACTTCCAAACCCACTGCAATTTCTTTAACAATTACTATTATCTGCACAGTAAAAAACCCAATACCAAATGCAAAAATCTGGTGCCAAGCCTTGCTAAATTTGAGCAACATGCTTTCAACCCTTTTTTGTAAGTTCAAGTACATCATCTAAACAATTTGTTAATTTTGTCATACCATTGACAGTTGTCTAACCTTTAAAGTCAATTGTATCTTTTTTGGTTTAAGAACAACAAAATTTTTTTGAATTGTCTGATTCACTTTTTGTCAGCTTTGGCATTTGAAACGTGCACCTTTTACAATTGGTAATGACAAAATATATGTCTTAACAGCATGTTTGAATGGTAAACCAATACTTCTATTTACATTTATTCAATGTAATGTATATATTGAAGCTGTACTTAGTTGTATAATTTTGTGTATCATCGTAGAAATCAATGAATAGCCACTTAATTTAATTGTTATGGTTGCTCCTTTGTCAGATAAGACTCACTTTCTTTGTATAATGATTGTTCTTTAACTAACTACCAACATTCACCTTTGGTTTAAATCACTGCTTTTCTATAACCTTATTGTTTATGCTTGTCTAAGGCTTACTTTTAGTTGTTTGTATGTCAGATAATACTTCAACTTCTTTATTCTATTTATTGTCTCCTCTTTTAGACCACCACTAATACCATCTTCTTATTTTATACTTGCTTGAGGCATGCTTTTGATTGTTCGTTTGTTTGTTCATTTGTTCGTCAAGTAATGCTTCAAGTTCTTTGCTTATTGCTTCCTCTTTTAATCCACATCAACACTGCTTTCTTTATTTCCAAATATACCAACCTCCAATATTTTAATAAACTGCTTTTCTTATTCCAAATGCACTTTCCACTTATCTTTTACCTTCCTTATTAATAAACTGCTTTTCTTATTCCAAATGCACTCTTCAACTATCTTTTACCTTCCTTATTTCCAAATATAGTACCACCTATATTCAAAAGTATCTCCTCTTAATCTCCAAATGCAGCATTTGCTCTATAAGCTTCCATTTTTCTTTTAGTCTATTGATAAAATACTTGTGTTTTTATAAATATATATCTGTACTAATTGATGTTTCTTATAATTTAATTGTTCATTTTTAGGTAAGATTTTTATTATAATTTAATCGTTCGTTTTTGTAAAATTTTTTTTGTTGACTGCTTTGTTCCTTCTCCACTAACGACACCTCTACTTCTCAACGTCACCTTTAAAATCTTGTTGGTAAGAAAGAGCAAACTATTATATTGGGTCTATGGCTATATATTTATTTATGTGACTTTTATATTATCATTATTATCTATAACTTCATATTTACACAAGCATAAATTCTAATCTTAAACAATCTTATATATTATTACTATAATATGACTTCATACAGGATACCATATTATTATGAACACTTTTTAAAAATTTATATTGAGCTAAATAAAGTTCAAAATTATATAAAAAATTGTTTAAATCTAAGGCTTTTAAATAAAAAAAAATTCATAAAATTCTATGCAATAGTTGTTGAAATAGTTAATGTTACACAAAAATATGTAATGTTACACTAGTATGAAAATAATAATTGTACAAATTTTGTTAGACTAATTTTCGTAAAATAACTTAATTTTTTATTAAATAAACTAAATTTGATTATTATGTAAAATTTATTCAGTATAATAAATTACACATAATTCTAAATTTTTAAAAACTTTTAAAAAATTTTAACCTAAATATTATTACTAAATATAAAAGTTAAATTATTTAATTTAAAATTAACAAATTGCTAAAAACAGTAATTTTTATTATTTTTAATAATTTTATGAATATTTTTTTAAAAAATTTAAAAATTTCAAAATATGTGTATTTTTTTATGCTAAACAAATTTTACTTAATAATGTAGCTTAGTTTGCTTAATAAAAAATTAAGTTTAATATGTACTAAAAATCAAAATTGATATTTATACTAAATCATTATTAAAAATTAGGCTTTAGTACCAATGAAAAAATCATAAAATTTTTTAAACTTAATTATTTCAAAAAGTATTGCATAGAATTATATATATTTTTTTTTATTTGAAAGCTTCAGATTTGAATAATATTTTATATAATTTTCAGCTCTATATCTTGTTTATTTAGTTCAATATAAATTTTTAAAAAGTGTCTACAATAATATGGTACCCCTTGTAATTTATGCAATTTATACATGAATAAACTAAGATCTGAAACATTTTATCAAAGCGTATAATGTTCGTGTAACATAACATTCGTGTAATGCATAATCAGATGTTCGTGTAACTTATTATGTAGTGTAGTCACGTGACTTAGGGAACTAATAAAAAAAGGGGGCTTTTTTGTTGAATCAAAAAAAATGGACCCCGTGAATCAAAAAAAATGTGTTTGCGCTCCCGATTACATGCTATGCAAAACGAAAAATTAACTTTGCATGGCCTTAGATACGAACATGATCCATTAATTTACAATAGATTTAAAAAAATTCGACCCGCCAACCGAAGGTTGAAACACCAGGTTAAGCAAAACGAAATAAAATTTGATGTAAATACATTTTCGCATATTCGAATTTCTCAAAAAAAAAATTTGAATAAATAAAAAAAAGGATTACATTGTTCTTTTGTGATAGTCTCATTATTTTGCCTTATTCTAATGCACAGATTGAATTTTAGCACTTTATGTAAGTAGGTGGGTTGGAAAATCTGTCATCGGGGTTTCAAGTTTATTAATTGTCGGGGGTGATGCTGAAATCGGATGATGCTGAAATTTGGGGTCTTAATTTGAAAATATAAACACTACTAAAATCCACCTATACTCTTTTATTATAAACACTAACCCTAACTTCTAATCGAACTATGAAAAAAAAGCTGAACAAACACCCCCAAAAAATTTTTAATTTTTCATAATAAAATAAGTTAAAATTTCAGCATCATCATCAGATTTCAGCATCATCCCCGACATTATCGCGCTTTTCAAATTACTGTGTCCGCCGATTTTCATACATCACACTGGGAATCCAATACGTGATTAGCTAAAAATTATTTTTAACCAATCACAGATTTGCATTTATTCTAGATTTTTAATTTCCGGTGTGATGTATGAAAATCAGTGGACACAGTAATTTGAAAAGCGCGATAATTACCGGACACAGTTTTTAGGGATCGTGTCCGATAATTTATAAATTTAAAATCCGATGCCAGATTTTCTCTTGACAGTACTCACAATACTAATATACACTAATAAGTATCGACATAAAAATCAAAATATTTAAAAATTGAAAAAGCAAACCAAAACTTATTTTTTTATAAACAAATTTAAACTAATCAAAGAACAAATTTAAAAAACAAATTTAAACTAATCAAAGGACAAATTTAAAAAACAATTAAAGTCCTGGCAACCAGGAATTCGAGCCAATTATAGATATAAACTTGACTCTCGCTAATATCAACCCATTTTGATCACTTTTATATTCATGTTGATAATGATATTTATGAGGGATCATATTTAAGTTGATACATATTAGGGAATTTTAGTATAATTTATTATATAGTAATTCATTTTATTGTTTAGGTTGATATTAATGGAAGTGTAATATTTGATATTCTATACATAAAAGATAAGCATCTGATTTTTAAACAAAATCTGAGAATTCACCAATAAAAATAAAATATGATAAAGAAAAGATCGTTGGCAATATTTACAACGCTATGTGACATTTAAAAATAAATAATAGCAACTAAACGAGTTGCAAGAGCAAAAATGCCATTTTGTGTCTTACCAACAACTTGTGTTATCCCTGACGATTGTGGATTTTGACAGCTTCTCGTCTCATTATAGTTTAAAGAAATTGGACCTTCCCATACGTCTTCATAAAACAGAGGTGGTGCAGGCTTTACATTAGGACAAATCCATCCTTTGACAACAGATACCACTCATTGTTAGAAAAATTTTTAGTCGTGATATTACCTCCCGAATCAGACCAATCAAAAACAAAAAGTGCACCATTCGGTCCGGTAAAACTGAGTGCATAATTAATATCAGGAGTAGTGTATAAACCAGGTCCAAATTCATTATGTAAGAAATTTGATACTGGAAAAAAACTAGACAAAATAAATGGCTTGAGCAACAAAACGACGCGAATCAATCCCCCGGTAGAGGAAATTTCTATAACCAACTTGATTCTCTATTTGACCGATTATAGTTGATGCATTATCAAATTGATTTTTGCATACTAAAATGCTCTTAGGTAATACAGTATGAGCTTCTCCACCAACGATTCTTCCGGGTTTGATTGACTGAAGATCATTTGATACGAATTAAGGAATAATGCTTGGCATGCTTGGCTCATAGATATATTCAAGTTCTGGATATAAGCTTTGGTGCGGAAAGTGTAAACCCTGAAGAAGTGCAACACGAGCTGCAAAGAGAGTCGAAGAAACACCAATAGGAACTTCGATAGATTTATTCCATAGTGCTACTTCATTTTTTTCGAAACCAATATCATTAAGCACTTTTCGAACTTCATCGGACGACAAAATTAACGAAATTGTGTTTGGAAATGTGGTACCTTTAGCTTCTAATTTTCTTTATGTCATGATAGACTTTAATAATTACATTATATAAATTATCACATCACATAATTACATCATAATCACTATAATTACTTACTCATTAATTATTTTATCGTCATTCACGCCAATAGGTGCCAAATTAGTCGACATGGTTTGTGCATTATCTTCATCAAAACACTGTTTATAAAGCTTATTTAAGATTTTGAGGACTAATACTATATCCGGACGTTTAGCTGGATCTTCATCCCAGCATAGTTTATAAAGATTTTCATACTCAGGGTTCGTGCCTTCAACAGGTGTTTCTCTTCCTCCGTAATATACATGACATATGATTTCATAAACACATCTAAAAGATTTGAATGGTGATTGTCCACTAGAGATCTCCCAAAGAATAACACCAAAGCTATATATATCTGACTTAGCATCACGTTGATATTGGTTATCCTTAAGGCATTGAGGTTCGATGTATGCTGGCATTCCACGAATTGTTGAGGTTGCAAATGATGCTCTATTCACATATTCGGGC